CTGGTCCTTTACCATCCACTGAATTTTGATCCTAGTTACATTCCCAGTGTTCCAAGAAAGCCTGTTCACTAGTTGTTTAATGTGTTGTATGTGTCTATGTGAAGGCAAGTTATTTCTGTTTGTCTCAGTCTGCAATCTAGTCCAACAAATATATTGGCATAGACAACCAACAGGTCACTGAACTTCTGTTACTGCTGAGTTGTCAACCATGACGGAAGTAATACTAGTTTCAGTTATCCCTTCCCCTTTGCCTGCCGTGCCAGTTGCAATTCCATTGATAACCTGGATAATTGACTACACATAATTACAGAAAAGCACTAAGACATTGTCACACCTTAAACAGATTAGTGTCTGTGACAACACTATCTGCTTTCTGGACAGGAAACAGTGTATTATGTATGTTGGCTCTATCACTATGTTACATAGTACCAATGCACTAGACATCATCCATAGTAACCAACACCACTTGTGTACACAGAGGTACTGTGACTCCCTCCACTACATACACCCATGCAGCCCCCTGTTCTTGAACCTGGTCTAACTGACATAACATGATTTTCTTATGCAAACACAGCCAATTTATTACACTCTGAAAAATGACTGATAATGCTTCCACAATATATCCATCCCTAGAATACAAAGGTCAGAGATGCTTACCTTTGTTCTGTGGCTGTCTTTACTTAGATGCATTTGGAGAATTGCTTGTCCAGCAATGTAAGGTCTGTCACCATTTTCCAGAATGAAGTCAGTGTTGACTGGCCAAAGTGGTGACTTCACTCTTATTGCCTGATATATGGTGAGATAAATCAGTGTCTTGGCAGCTCCTGTATCAACTAGGAACTCTATCATCTCTCGCTTTTTTATCTTCACAAGGACCATCCAGCCCTAAGCTGACCACCAAAACTTTTGTTGTAGGTTGCCTGGCTGTGTTTGCTGCATTCCACCTAATTATGGGCCAGTCCTGACTCAGGCTTCATTAGTTTCCTGAAGTAAAAATAGTAGTAGTTACAGCTTGCTGCTGACTCTCTTGCATCTAATGTTCAATTGGATGATACTGGTAATTTCACCTATTTTACCAAATGACAATTTAAAGGGAGTTTATTATGTAGCTATTCTTCCCATAGGTAGTACAAATGCATTATTTCTGTCTTCCATCAATGAGTGAAGGCTTCATCAACATCCAGGGTAACATAAACATTATAGGCAAACTAAGGAGCCCCCAGTGGCACAGCAGTATATCTGTGGACTTACAACGCTAGAAACCGGGTTTCGATACCCGTGGTGGACAGAGCACAGATATCCCATTGTGTAGCTTTGTGCATAACTACAAAACAAAAAGACTAAGGAAGTCCTGCCTATTCACTGGGAAGCAGGGGGTTTGTGTCATAGTACTAGGATGTGTTGACTGCTTGTTTGCCCTCGGCAAATCTTGAGCTCAATACGAGACAGTCATTATTCACTTGAAGAGAGCAGTCTGTCCGAATGACAATGACAGCAGCTACTTTTCCTTTCTTGCAACCTATATGAAATCACAATTTTGAACTTTACCACCATTGAAACTGTCTCCATTAAGATTAGACGATATCTCACACCGAAGTGGTGCTTTAATATCTTACAGTGGAATCTCCTATTAACTTATCAGTCAGGTTATCCTCACAATCTGCCAATGCCATCGCAGAGTATGATTTTGCATATAATTGACACAGATCATCTATGAAAGTGGCTTAGTTCTCTGAATACTCCTCTTTTGAACTTTGAATGTGACATGATGGACTGCTAAGTCAAATAGTTTTATAACTTAGTTACAACTGTATCCTAGTCCCTTGGTTTAGCTTTGCTCAAGTGCTCAATAGCATTAGACTGTTCAATAACAAGGTCAGGCGTTGCATTGCCTATTCCCAAGTCCATCCATTGAAGGCAGTAACCTCCCTGAAATGCTTCAGGAAGTGGTCTAGATCATATTTTATCAAGCCTATAAACAATTTGGGATGATACTTATTTAAACTATATCAAAACTACCTGTGATTTGAATATATACTTCTCATGGCCAACACTAAACAGAGATATTTTAAAGGTTAGGGTGCAGTAGAGTGGTCTTGTACAGGGACCTCAACACTCATATAAGTGTTAGATCTCTTCCCCAGGTTACAGAAGTGTGAGTTACTGGAGGTAACTCGTCATCACAACTTCGGCCTTTTCCTTGACCCGTGGTTGTCCTTTTAATATACCTCACGACAATAAAAGCTCAAAAACATGTTACTATCATCACAAGTTCATAGCAAAAACAGTTCTGGCTGGTGGACATTGTCCACCAATGGGAATTCCAGTCTATCTATGCCCATCACAGGTGGCGTTAACCAGAGCCAGGTTTAAACTAAACTAGTCAGCTGTTGCCCAAGGTTATTGTGAATACTTCTTAATTAAATCTCACCCACATCAGACAATGATAGTCAGATTTTCACAAAAAATATGACTTCTTCTAGATCTTATAACTTTCTGAAAGCCAGTGTTCTTTAATGTCTAACTCTTCTGCTTGGTTATAAGTTCCTTAACTCGTGAAAAATGCAGTTTCTTCGCCTTTGAAGCTTCAACTCAGGGTGGATGACCACATAGGTGTATACCTATCAACAGAAAAATAGGCACTCCTCAGAAACAAATCCTGTAGTCATGTTACCAAATCTTCTCATTTCTACTTACTCTGTGGTATTCTCAGGTTAATCAACTTCCTAAAAATAATCAGGTAGGAACTGCAGAATATTGGGTTTTTACAGAAAATGTTTTGCAAAGTACACTCTCAGTTCTCTTAACTTAGACTGTGTTTGAAGCAAAGAGAGACACACAACACAGGTTTAATCTAAGTGAAATATAATTTCCAACAAACACAATTAAAGTTTAAAAACTAGTATATTTTACGACAACTTTACTGAGGAGATCTCCAACTGTTCAAAGCAAATAAATGCCTTTAAATCAAATCATCTTCTTGTAGACTAAGCAAACATGACATTATGTACAAGAAAACAATGATGCCCATTCTTTTCACTTTCTCAGAGTGTAAGTACTATCAACGTGACTAACACTCATTCCCACTACAAAATTACCTAACTAGCCAGTGAAAAAGATCACTGTTTTTCATACAATATGTTCTATGTTACAGCAATATTTCTCACAAGAAAGCAAATGTAACATTATAGTTTCCTGGCCTAATTCCATGAGTAATTAGGGTGAGAGGAATGTAGTGGCTCCTTTGACCAACTTTCTATATCAGTAAAACGTACAATAATGCCCAGATATTTTGAAAAATTCACATATTAACTAAAGGGGTGGAAAGCAAGTGGTGTGCCTGCATACCACAATATGAGAATGAATATAAAAATATTTTTGTTACCAAGAAGATAAGTTTAATATAATGATCTGATACATTCACTGCAATAAAACTAAAACTGCCATGCATGAAATTGTTTTATGTATTTCTTCAAGTTGCAATTTGGCACTTCACTTAAAAATAAGAAAGTTAAAAAATAGAAGAAAATCTATATAGAAAACAGGAACTATATTTATAGATTTCATGAAGTAGGAAAATTGAGACCAAATTTCGAATTCAGGACATTATTTACCACTTGCTTGGTATCTTTTCTAACAAGCAGCCACAATTCCTATTCGCCACTTGTTAGGTTTACTATCACATAAGGATTCTCAAGCTATACCAATGAGGTTTCAATGCTTGGAATTTGAGTACTGCCATTTTTTAAACAAATAATTAGTTGTTGTTGCATGCTCTAGTTTTCTACCCTTTCTAATGATTCTGTAGCCTCGTATATAAATCGTTGTGGTGTTTCTGTGATAAATATAACATGTGATTCGATGTGACTTATAAGCGGGGCATTGACGTGAATGCCGCAACTACGTGAACAAACCTTTGTCCGTTGAAACATGATCGTATATTATAATTATAAATTAGCAAAATTTTTGAGCAATGATTTAAAGGAATTTTTATATAACAAGTATACCTTGAAAGACAATTTTGGGTTCCTTAATAATTTCCAATAATTAAGTTCTGATCATGACGTAGTAATTGCCAGAATATTTAAAGACAATTTGGTGTTTAGAGACAGAATAGGTAAACTAAACGCTCGAACGTTATCTACACGTATAAATGCTCTGAGTATTCTAGAGTATCTGTAGGAGCTACTTCAAGAAGACTGGTGGAAAGAATCAAGTAGCACTGTTTACCAAGTTTCCTACATTAGTAAAAACATACAGCATGCACAGAAATTTTGAAAACATCATATATTAAGGGGTAGGAATCACGTAGTGCGCTACAAACTAACACATGCATTAGAATATTCGACACTTCCACATACCTTAGTAAACTGTGTTCCTTGATTCTATCCACCAGTCTTCTTGAAGTATAAATACTGTAGAACAATCGGACAATTTATACATGTAGATATCGTTCGAGCGGTTTAGTTTACCTATTCGGTCTTTAAACACAAAAATAGTTCCTTATTCTGATGATGGGTTTAAGCAGGTTCTGAAGCGTTAGTTTGTGGCGATAATCCAGTAATTCTCAAGCAGTTTAGAATTATTAGAACTGCTGAAAATGATTATGTTTTAAGAATCAGAGAGACTTTGACATATACAAACTTAAATCTGGAATTAAATAGACATTCTATTTGTGGTGAGTTTCTTCTGAATGTACAATGAAAATAAAATATTACTGTTTGTTGTAGAGAGATATATTGAGATTGTACTTAACTTAACTTTAATTAACGATGTAATGCCACATTGTCTTAATAGACCGATAAAATAAAGACTAAGGTTTGCAATATTCGATTCTGATATCTTAGTTATTTAAAGTAAGCAGTGGTGGGGGTTAAAATCCCACTTGTCTTAGTTATCACTTCTTCAGAAAATTTACATAATATTTGTCGGATGATGTGTTATTTGCTACTTGACAATATCCTGCATACATTCATATATATTTGATTTTTTTATCACAGAAGCAACTGGGTTAATTCGACATCTCCTAACAGTCAGTCCTGCTAAACGAGCAACCATCGTAGACATCTGCACAGATTCATGGGTAAACCTTGGGTATGACCATTCCCTCCTTCAGATTGCAGAAGATCTGTCCAACTTGATGCCCGTGCGACTTGACATTCTTCTTGCTCTGGTACCTTCTTCTTCTTCAATTAATTCACTCAAGAAAGAAGACTTTCCTGTGATTCATGTGCAGTCAGCAACGGAAAGATTATGCGATTATTCTCCTTCTAGTGACACTTCTGTTTCAGAAGATGGTAACCCAGAAGAGTTGTTTGAAGGAGAAGATGGTGAGACCACAACTGACAGTTTTGCCTTTGTTACTACAGAAGCAGCTGAGAATATCTCTAAAAATGCCGAGGAAAATCTGAAATTATCTCAAATTTTAAATAATACTGATGAAGCTTCTGTCATTGAAACTGTAGGATCGAAACGAAGGTCAGAAGAATCATATAATAACAGTTTACATAACATCTCGATAGTTGTTTTTGACACCAATGAACCTCAAAAGTTACTGAAAACTATCAACATGGAAAACAACCCATCTTTCACTTGCACTTCGCAGGAATTGGTGTCAACAAAAGTTACAACTGAAAATAGAGTATCAGAAACTGAAAAGTTAAATCAAGGAATACTTGACAAAGAATTCAAGATTGAAAAGGGGGAATCAGTTCGTAAAGAATCTTGCCAGAATATACCAAATCTTTATGAAACTTTTGAAGAGGAAATCACAACTAAACAGATAGATGAAGCTTTAGTTTCCACCTCATTGAATAACGATTGCAGAGTAAATACGAACTCTAATAAGGACAATTTATCAAAAATACCTATGATGGCACTACAACAACAAGATATTTACAAATGTATAATGGAAAGTAAAGTTAAGCTTGACCTTTCCAACAAGGAAAATCGATCTGAAAAACACGCAAAGTCTTTGGAACACACAAATATTCAAGGTAAAAAATTACTTTCAGAAAATACCTCAGAGTTAGAGAGATCTAATAACTTTTCTGATCAGGAAAATGACGTTTCCACAGTTACAGTAGACAAAACTCGGCTTAATAACAACCTGGTAAGTGAAGAAGTCTCAAATGTGGATTTTTCATCATCTGATGATAGTTCTTCAACTAGTACTGGTAAACAACAACATGATTCAGAGGGTGGGACTTCATCAAAAAATAACTTTCCCACAATAATGATTAAAGAAGATTCACTTCAATGCCCTAGAGTTTCAAGAAGATTGTCTAATTTATCTACCACATCCACACAAAGTACCAACAATCATGTCACAACTTCTACAAGCCCTACTAAAAGTTCCTCTTTGTCTATAAAGCCTAGAAACAGTCCAACTTTCTGTAAAATGGCACATGAATACATTCTACGTAAGAAATCACCCAAACATAAAGGTTCACACATCAAACCTACTTCAACTAAACCTTTTGCAAAACAGGACAGTTTTCCTTCAAAGGGCAAGTTAGAACTAGATAAGTCATCCCTTAAAGGTACTTTCAAGAAGGAAAAATCATCCATTAAGTCAAAACTAAAAACTTCAATGGAGCATAGGATAGTTTTGCAAAACAACAAAACATCACTAAGTAGCAAGACATTTGAGCACATCGTACAGAATGAATGTAGACTATCTGATCACAGTAGCACTGCAATACAAGAAAAAGTACAAGATCAGATAATTGCTCAATGTGACGTATCACTTGAAAAAAATACGAAAAATGAGAGTACGTATTGTGACCAGGACACAAAGCATGCAAACAGACACTGTAACAATAATGTAGCCCATACAAATACACCATATAAGCAAAAATTGTCAAATGAAAACAATTCATCTGACATAGATAGTCATACAAAACAATTGTTTATAAAATTCAACAACAACATCGATTATTCTCTTCAAAAACCAATTAAACAAGAAGAAACTAAAAATAAAAATTTAAGTAAAATACCAGCTGTTCAGAATGTTGAAGGCTTCACTCAAAGACCTTCAATCAAGAATCAAACAGTTGTAATAAAAAAACAAACTGTGCTTCCCAGTGTTCGAGGACCAAGTAAAATTGTAATTCCTACTCACTTTGAATCGTCAAAATCAAGTTATTCACCAAAAGGAACAGAAGTGAAAACACCATCACCTCTTAGGAATATTTCTGATGTAAAGAAGGTCTTTGAGAAAAAAGTGACTTCCCCAGTTAAAAGAATGAATTCAACACATAATTTAAAAAAAACAAATAATTCAAAAACTGCTCCTTCTAATAGTATCACTAAGAAACCCACTCCTTCACCAATTACAGCAAGTATTGCTGGTGTGATAAAGGACTCTTCTTCATATAGGTCTCCATCGCGAGTTAAATCCTCCATATCTTCAAATTTATCACAATCTTCACCTGTCAAAACCAAAAAAGGTCCTTCACCATCTTCTGAAAGAACTGTTAGAGGACCTAGGTCCAATGAATCCTCACATTCTTGTAAAGATCTAAAAACTACGTCTCCTTCTCCTAAAACTGCTTCTCGCAGAGATACTAGATCTAAGATTTTTTGTCAAGTGCTGTTCAATACAATGAATGATGAAAGTAAAAAAAAATATCAGCTTTCAACAGCGAATAAGGGCTCATCCAATGAGGTCCAGGTTATCAATGAAGATAAACAGACTATAAAGAACCCTAAAAAATATACTGATAATGACTTTCAAAACCAGTCAAAGGAAGAATTGAAAAATACAGAAAATACTGTTCAAAACTTAATTCACTCGAACGAAGTGCTGGAAAATAAAAAAGATAAACTTTGTGATGAATTTAAAGTAAACGAAGAGTTGGATAATGGAGAAATGATTTTTAAAAAATCGAGTAACTCATATGGACAATTGAAAAATATACAAAGTTTTCCCGGGGGTTCGAATAAGTCGAACGAAAACTTGGAACGTAAAGTACAGATTTTTGATGGTTTATATGAAGTAGGCGATTTCATAGTAAAATATTGTGATAAATCCTCTAACAAAAGCACAAATAAAGCAAGAGAAAAAAATATTGCCGAACTGGAGTTTCAGAAAAATATATTAGAAGATAAAATTACCCACATAAATAAAGAAGGTATAATTGAAAAAATGGCACAGAATGAAGTCGATTCAGATGATTCAACCGTTAGTCAAAAGAGTATGGACAATCACGTTATTCAAATAATTAATCCTAACTATTTAATAATACCAGACATTGTAGAAAAAACAGAAAACAACCCTGAAGCAGAGATATCTAAACTAATACAGGATGAAGATACATCTAATAGAGATGAGTATAATACATTTGTAAAAACAAAAACATGTCCAAAGAACACTCAAATACGTGAAAACAATATTCTTCATCACGGGGAAGATATTAGATCATCTATGTCTTCTGAAGGTTATCCCGTTGAAAACGTACAAACCGATGAGCAACAAGCATCATTTAAAAGTCTGGAAACCGCGGTTAAAGAACAGCTGATCTGTGCTTTATGTGAAGGTCTTTCACTGCGTGGTCTTAATCAGAGAAAACAGAACGTTGTAGAAGAAACACTGAAAAACAAACTTTTGGAAAAAGATGTGACAGGCATGAAAGTAATATCTGAGTGCAAAAATGAAGATGACGTAATTGGAATCAGCAAACAACAGGTATCACCTGAATACATAATTTCTTCACGTACCTACAGTACTCCTGAAGTTTACCAAGAAGAGCCAGAAATGACTTCTAAAAGTAAAACACGAGTTGTATTAAAACCAGTGTCTCATTCAACTCCTGTAACACCTCGGTTGTTGCATAAGACATACCATACAAATTCAAATTGTGTTACAAGTAAACATTCATTAACAGAAAATGTTCACACGCCATTTATTGAAACTTCTAAATACTTAAACAACACAAAACTGGTGATTCCTAGGAATTATATTAGTCTGTCTTCTAGCAGTGCGTCAAGTATAAACGTAAGGAAAGAAACCACTCACGCGGACTATGAAAATTTATCTCCAAAGGGTGCTTCTGAAGATCTATTAAAACCCGTTGTCCTATTTACTGATAATGGAAATGTCAATAAAGAATATGAAAGACCATCATCTATAACTCGAAGCTTTCGAAAGTTTACCTTCAACAACGATGACTCTTGTGTTACAGAAGCAGGTAAGATATTTGAATTACCAGCTGCAGGAAGAACCTGGAATAAAATGGAAGAAGACACTAAGAGTAAAAAACAAATAAGCAATAGTAATGATAATTTGGAAAATATTGGACATGTCAAACTCAAAGATGTTTCAATTGATATGCGAAATTTGGACAGTCAAAATTCCTTTAGTTCTAATGATGTTTTTGGAGAAGAACTTGGTAACTGTAAAAGTGCTTTAGCAAAGACTTCTGGAAAAAGTGAATTAATTTGGAAGAAAAAAAAAGATCAGTATAAACATACGAGTAAAGACCATAATCTCGAAGCAAAGGAATGGCTTTATGTGAAACATTTGGATGGTCAGTCTAAAGACAAAGAATCGTCAGACAATGAAAACTACATGGATATTCACTTTGAAGATACTAGTGCTGTAATGTTTGGATCACAAGGTTTATGGCAGTTCCTACAAGCAACAAACAAAGATTCAGCCAATCATTTGGAGTCTTTCAAACATCATTCCGAAATTTGTCTCCCTCCACTCAATCAGCAACACTATACTAATGTATCAGCAAAATGTCAGCAAAAGAATACTGAGGTCACTTGTGTAGCACGTTCTGTTAGCCAAGAAGAAACTCTCTTTAAGGATAGATGTAATCAAGCACCCATTGACATAAATAGCATTACTAAACCAGGACCTTTTAATCATGGTCCTGGTTTGTGGACATTACATCGAGAAGATCAATCAGCAAAAGAAAACTCCCATAAAGATAATTCAGCAAATCGAAATAATAACAGTATTGTTAAGAATGTGACTGAGAATAATTTTCAGGACTGCTGGAGACCTTCAAGGGAAACAGTTAATATTCCAGATGAAGTTAAAGAAGGAGCAAGTAGAAATCAAGATGATGTTATTATTAAAAATGCATCAGTGTATGGATCTGTTATACATAAAATCAACCAGCTGGATTCAAGATCTTCAAGTAGTGAGTATGCACACACACCAGTTGACAGTAACACCACCCAGTCATTACAGACAAATAACTTTCAACCATTTTATTCTCTAAAAATGCCAGAATATCGACGACGTATAGTCGAAGAATGGCTTTCTAGAACAGCTTTGGATCAAGAAGATAATAATATTAGTAGAGGAGAGGACAAAAACATTAAGTGTTACAGTGAGGACACTAATAATACTCTGGTATGTGATGTTCAACAGAAAGCAGAAAAGAGCAGCAACTCTCAAAACAAAAATGAGGTACCAACAACATTTCAAATTTCAACACCAAATGTTTCAAAAGAAAGTGAACCCCAGGAATACCGTGTGAGTAAGAACAGATTTAATAAAGGCCAGCCTGTTTATGATTATTCAAATTACACGCCAGATTTCAATTCTGAACCACTCATTTGGGAAAGTTCCAATATTGCTTCAGGATCTTACCAGAAAAACTCCTTAGATCCTAACAAACACTTAGTTCCTGAAAACCAACAGCATATTCATCATACAAGTCCACTTAGTATAAATGTAAATAAAGATACTGTATCAGACGAGGAAGAACATCATACGAAAAAACATTTGCTGGTCAGGAATCAAGGAAGGCCAGTCTTTCTCATGAACTTTCCTTTAAGGAAGCAAAATTTAAATGCTCAAATACTTACACCAAAATGTAATAGGAATCAAGAACCACTCGGTAAAATTTGGCAGCTACAAAGTGGATATCATCATGCCATCTCACAAAGAGTGCTCAGTGGATCTCACACATTCACTCAGAAATAATGTGACAATATTACTTGAAAGAAAACCACACAAAAAGTGCCAGGTACTATTAGTTTCAAGAAAAATATGAAACAAAACATTATGCTCTTTCAATCAAAATAAACTTACACAAATTTATAGATCCTCTGAATTACAAGAAAATCACAAAAGAAAACTTAGACACTACAGTATTTAGCATACGTTGAAATATGCACTATAAAAGATACTCCATCTTTAGAAAACGTTGGTTTGACAGAAAGTAAACAATGAGATCAGATGTTTCCAGCTCTAGTGTTAGTGTCTCAGTGGGTTTATTCCTGCTCAGTGAAGAGAGAGCAAGATGATTTCATCAATTTCCTCGTGATGAAATAAGTAAGAAGAATAAGTCTGTGTCTTCCATAACTGTATAAAAAAAGACAATGTTTGTGATACTTTTGCAGGTGAATATCATGAAGTACAACAAGCTGAGAAAGAGAGCAAAAACTATGAGAAACGAAAAGTCTTTTAGTGAAAGAATACTTCCAAAGAGCTTTTATCCTAGGTTCAATGACAATTATCAAGGCAAAAAATGTCTTTCTAGCTTTCGAGATATTAACCTTTCTCAAGAAGACTGGCCAGTCAGGAAGCATGTGTAGTCTAGTCTACGCCGATGATACGCTTCATTTAGACTGTATTTGGAAACAATAGACTAAAAGAGGATCTTTAAGAAAAAATGTTAAGATAGGTCAAGAAAACAACAGAGAATAAACAAGGCCATCAGTTCATTTAGAAGACTACAAAGAGGATTCAATCTCCACAAACTTGTGAAAACGAACTCATAAAAAAGTTATTCTCGCCAATGAGCAAGAACTGTATAAATGCATGCGAATACCGGTGCATTTTCTTCTGAAAATCAGGATAAAGCACCATCTTTAGCAGCGAGAAGAAAGGAAAATATGAAAAAAAATATGTGATATTCACTGTATAAGCTTAGAATATCACATATCTTGGAAACAGGAAGTATGAGTTTTCCTTAGCGACAAATGGATTGTTACGGACTAGGCCATCTTTTTCTCGTGATACTAACCTACACAGTAACCTGAGTTGTAGTTATCAAAATAACTTTTCTTGTTTTTCATTTTGTTTTTATAGACACATTAAGCTATCTATTGTGTCTACCGCGAGGAATCAAACCCTGGATTTCAGCGTTGTAAGTCCGTAAATTTACAGCTGTCCCATCGGGGGACCATTTTAATTGCTCCAGGTATTTTGATTACGATGAAATATAAATAAGTAGAACCTAATTAGCGATTTCTAGACTTTCATTGCTAAAAGAAGTGAAAGATTTTGAAGATATCTTTTGTGATCAAGCAACGTTAGTTAGTCATGAACCTGGAAGCAATACGTCTAGCACACAGTCAGCTCTGTACAAATCAAGAAATAAAAAAAAACCTGTTTGTAATCATTATTGTGTCTTGAAAATGGCATTTCATAAACGTGAAACTCAAGATACGACCATTTTTCTCCTGTGTATGAATGTAAAGAGCACCGAGGTACTTAACAACATTTGTAACTTAGTGTCGTTAATCACAAAATAACTCAACGAGGGAATAGCATTGAAAAGAATGACTGCTAAGCTGTTTAAAAACCTTTTTAGATAAACAAATCGTAAGTTCAAAACTATTATTTTAATTTAGATAAATGTTAGTCTATAATGCCTGTCAAACAATAACCAACAAATGAAAACCAAATAGAGCAATGATAAAGAAAACCGTTATTTTGTGTATACCAAATTTTACTCCGAATGCTGTCAACTCTTTTTTATCAAATTTTTTTATTATTATTTCCTTTAGATATTTATTAACCTTCTAGACAAATAAACTTATGCATTATAAAGTTTTCGAAACCTTTAGTTGTGTTCCATTATTTTACAGCAAAATATTTTTGTAAAGTTTTTGTCTCCTGAGTGTTGATAGTTTTGGGTTTTTTTTTTCCTTAGATATGATATTCTTCCGCCTGCCCCCCAATGGCACAGTGGTATGTCTGCGGACTTACAACGCTAGAATCCTGGTTTCGATACCCGTAGTGGGCAGAGCACAGATAGCCCATTGTGTAGCTTTGTGCTTAATTTCAAACAGACAAACAAATCTTCCGCCTGTCAGTCATATAAGTCAAATATTAAAATTGACAATACAGAATCAATAGTACAGCATTGTTTAATAGAAACTGAATAATCTAAGTGCTTGTATAAATATAATAATCAGGAGAAACAAAACATATTGTCTTCCAAATTCTATAATAACATCTTTTTCTCATGTGATTATATTATTATACAACAAAACTAAACTTTTAAAGTTTTTGACAAATTCGATCAAAGACGCTTTAGGTAGTGTAGTATATTATGTAAACCTAGGTGTCTTAACGGCAGACTGCAAAAAGTTAAGGGTAAAGACTAGGTGTTTAAGTATAGAATATAAAACATATGTTAGTAAAGAAAATTATAATATGATACCCTGGCTTCAACATAAACTAAGAGTTTTGGTATTTACTGCAAATAACTTGGATACAAATATTTACTCTTTTAGTATTAACAGTTATTCAATTTTAATTTTGACTCAGAAAAAGCAAAACAAAAGACATGTCTGTTCACAAACTAAGAGATCAAAAAGTTAATTATTTTATCTTCTGCTAGGTCTCAAAACTAAAACACTTGAGCAACAAACCTAGCTTCAGAACAAATGTATATCTACGTAGTCTTCAAACGAAGCTAGTAAAGGAGAACTATGTCTTTATTACATGCATATTGGATAATAATCATTGGACACTGAAAGGTAACATACTGTTGACGATACAGGAACTATCATACAGGTGTAAGTCATTTATTCAGTATTGAAAAGCTTTGGTAACATACAGAAGACGTTGTGTGTGTGTGTTATATCATAAACACTGCAGCTACCTTTCTCTGGTGTGGTAGCCACTAAATGATCAATTTATAGTGAGTCTGATCTTTACTACGTCAAAGTTAAGACACCAAAAGTAACCCAGCTCTACAAGACCAAGAACTAAATAATTGTTAAGAAATGTGAAAAGTAAGCTTCTGCCTACAAAACTAGACTTGCAACAAACACGTTTCATTTCACTGCTAGGTCAGTAAGGAAGGAATGTGCACAAGGTAGCCTTGTTTCCGACACATGTTAATTCTTGGACTAGTGAACAGACTAACTGAAGAGTTGAAAGCTATTGTTTGAAATTCCAAGCGTTACAACTGATTCTTGGACCAGTGAACAGACTAACTGAAGAGTTGAAAGCTATTGTTTGAAATTCCAATCGTTACAACTGATTCTTGGACCAGTGAACAGACTAACTGAAGAGTTGAAAGCTATTGTTTGAAATTCCAAGCGTTACAACTGATTCTTGGACCAGTGAATAGACTAACTGAAGAGTTGAAAGCTATTGTTTGAAATTCCAAGCGTTACAACTGATTCTTGGACCAGTGAACAGACTAACTGAAGAGTTGAAAGCTATTGTTTGAAATTCCAAGCGTTACAACTGAGACTTGTTAAAGCTTAGTGAACCTAAGATTATAAATTTTTCAGACAGTCACATTTTACCAGGAGAATAATATACTTGAAGAATGTGTGGTGTTGATAATTAGCCGTTAAAGATATTTTTTATTCTGTTTTGGACTTTTGGTAGTTAACCTTAAACACAAAAAGTATATATATATCAAATATTATATTACAATGAGTTCTATAGAATAAGTTAGAATTATAGAAAATCTCATAACATGTCGAATAGAAAAACAATAGTATTTCTGCAACTCTTTCCGTAAGTAAGATTGTCAGACTGTGGATCCTGGGTTCAAGGCTAGATGTTGCTGAGCACACTCCAAACTTTCTGCTATGGACGCGTTATAAAAGAGATAAGTCCGTTATTTGGTTCAGAGAATCGGACAAGGCCCTTATGGTGGCGAGTGACCCTTGCTGACTGCCTTCCTTCTAATCAGTAGCTCAAAATTAGGGGCGTCATACCATAATCGTAGGAGTCTCTGAACTGGCCCCTTATTTTATCTAAAGTACCGTTCCGCAAATAATAATATCGGAGAATTTATTAAAGGAATGGTTCTCAGAAAATGAAAACAAATTATAAAGTTGCTTGGATTGTTGTATACAATTTGTTTTTCGGTGTTTAATTTTAAAAAGTTTGCAATCAGTAAACCGACTAAAGGTAATGGGGTAATTTTCCTTTATACAACTTTTACTACATTAACAGGTATACCATCAACTAGTTTAGATAAAATGGAGTACATCAACAAAATGGAAGCTATTCTAAGTGATGCAGATAAGTTTCTAGAAATTAGAAGTGATCCCAAAACAAACAGGGAAGCCAAACTTGCAAGATCCCTTTCAAAGTTAAAAAAGACTGCGTTATAACGGATGATATGTATCAAAAGTTATACCAATAGGCTCACAGTAGACTTCCTTAGGTTCACAAACAAGGGTGTCCAGTTATACCAATTGTTTCTAATAATATGTTTCCGATAATTAACCATTACCAATATTTGAAAAAACTTCTACAGAATGAATACTCTTTTAATGTTACTTTTAAGTTTGGCAATATCTTAGAACAGACAGAGATGATGTATATTATGTTATTTATAGATCGAATCATTGTTTACAAATATACACCTAGACTAAACCGTAAACATCCAAATATTAAGTTTACTGTTGAAAATCAATAAAAATGACAAACTCTCTTGCTTAAATGTTCATGTCTTAAATAACCGAAATATACTTACCAGTAGAGCGTATCATAACCCCACTTTCACTTTCACATTTTAAAAGTTTCAGTCTTTAGAGAAAATCTGGTTAAAACCCTTCTGTACAGAGCGTTTGCAATAACGGAAAATCAAACACTTTTTAAAGCAGAAGTTGAAAACATTAAACAAATGCTTAGAAAAAAGTGTTTTCCATTGTCTTTCTCAGATAGAATAATAGATACAAAAAACTGAAAAGACACAATACCCCATCTGTTGTTATGTTAGATGTCCCGAGAAAACTGTTACTTTAGCTATACCCTACTTAGGCACTATTTCATACATGATTAAAAATCTATCAAACAAATGTATCCAAAAGTTCAGTTAAAATTAAAATGTATCTTTCAAAACAAAATCTAGGTGAAAGGGCACTTCAACTTTAAAGACCAACAACATCCACTGAATATTAATGGCTGGAGAATTTGAATCCACTGAATATCTTGCTAATGGTTCACGTGCCCGAGGAGTAATCAGGAATATTATGCAGTAGAATAAAAGAACACTGTATCCTTGAAACCTGTAACACCAGTATTATCACCAACCTCTATGTATCCTTGAAACCTGTAACATCAGTATTATCACCAATCTCTATGTATCCTTAAAACCTGTAACACCAGTATTATCACCAACCTCTATGTATCCTTGAAACCTGTAACACCAGTATTATCACCAACCTCTATGTATCCTTGAAACCTGTAACACCAGTATTATCACCAATCTCTATGTATCCTTGAAACCTGTAACACCAGTTTATCACCAACCTCTATGTATCCTTGAAACCTGTAACACCAGTATTATCACCAACCTCTATATAAGTGGATGTGATGTTGTGTCTATCTCCAGTTTTGTCGTCATTCCTTGTTCCCGGAAAGAATTCCAGCTTAAGATGCTAGAGTAGTAGTTATCGGAATTACCATGGATTCGTGCGCTGATTGGTTGCCTCAGAGGCACCAGAGGACTCTACTGACTTAGGACAGACGGTGTTATTAAGGTTCTATAGTGGAATGTGTTACCTAGGTTCTATGGGTGGACAGTGTTACTAGGCGGATGATCTTACTAGGCATATTGTGTATGTTTTATAAAGGCAGACAGTGTTTCTATAGGTGGGCAGTATTACTATACCTATATAGGACTGCATACAGACTTTCACTTGTCTCAACTTATGTTTATAGTTTTATTTTATATATTACAAGTGTTTTACAATAGTGTATGCCGTTACTAGGTGGACTGTGTTACTAAGGTTCTATAGTATTACTATGGTTAGTGCTACTAGGGTGGATGATGTTTCTACAAATAGATAGTTCAATACTACGATGAGCTCATCGTAGGGTGTTTCAACATGTAATTACGTCATCAACGTCTAGATTTAATTATATGTCCTAAACAGTTACAATTAAAACCATTATTTTAACGAGACAACTATTATAACACTGTTACATATGTCAGTTTTTATCACACATACTCTCTTTACTTCTCCATTACTTGAAATATTATAACATAGAAATTACATACTTTTACAATTATTGTCCTGAAAGGGCAGATTATTCATGATAAGACAATTATTTAAATATCTAAATAATATACAATAATTTAACATACAAGCTGACTGTTTCACTTTATAAGTATATATGTATAAACACATGTTTCACTAGTTATAATGTTTGTCTTAAAACATATTTTTATGCTAACTATCTATGTATGTATGTAGTTCTGTTTTCATTCATATCTCTAATCTTAACAAATGGTTAATAAACCCGGTAGTAAATCATGCTGCTACAACTAATTATGATAAATGAATGACATAACCAATCACTTTACTATTGTAGAAACTGTTTAAAATAGCATACTTACATTTTCTATAGAGCATTCACTTGAAGTCATAGGTGTGTACACTACCTCTTCAACAGAGCACCTCTATCAGTACTGCTACAGCAAGAAAAATACAGCGGCACTACTGTTGTTGCCACATATTTCTAAATATATCAGTGCTATTGCTACTGCTACTTTTGAAACTGACATTTTTCATGACAATTGTTTTTGTCAAATGATAATGTAAGAATGAAACCGCAACTTTATTGATAAATGGTAATACTTTATTGCTACAATA